AAGCCATCGGTTACTGTTGTAAATTTTAGCATCTTCCTTTTATGTTAATGCAGCTGTACATCTGGAAAGTAGATGATTTTTATTTATTAATTTTTTAATTTAAAAATAAAGACAGAAGGTTCTAAAAATACCTACAAGAAGCAAGTACTGTACAGTCTTCATCTTCTGTGGCCTGATAATGGTCAAATGTTATAATACAAACACCTACTGTATACTTAGGCTCACTAACATGGTGTAATTGGGTTGGTAGAGTCATATTTATTGACAGGCTCATATCAGAGGTTTTATATATTGCTGTGATAAAGACCTTGGTGGCCTCTTGTTGAGTTAAATTATATTATGCAGTGTTTTATCAGTACAGTATAGTCTGCATTTACGCGGTCAATTGAACCCGTGGAGGTCCGCGTAAAGCGAGAAACGTGTAAACGATATAACAGAACATATGGGATTAATTGAAATAGAGGCTGGGCCGACCCCCAAACTCCACTTTTTCCGACACAATACGTACGTTGTAGTAAAAATAACATCTTAATTTTATGATGGTATGCCCACACAATTAATATTTAAGAGAAATATCAATAATATTAGGTTTTTTAACACTTACGTTAGTAGAAAAGATGGCTGGGCACACGGGATGGGGGGTTGGTTCCAAGGCAGAGGGCAGATTATTGGCCCTCACCTGTATCACTATCCACCACAGAGGCTTGCAGGGCCTCTTTGTCAAACCCCTCAAAGTCCATATCCTCACTATCACTGACTTGGGCCGGCTGTGGTGGGTGGCGGGTGAAGAACTCGGTAATGTTTTGATGACTGGGCGACCTTGTGTGCACCCTGCCCGCGCCACTTCTCGCATAAATGATGAAATTTACCGCGTAATTAAAACATTTTATTCTGGCAAGGCACCGCATAAATGACCAAACGCGTAAACAAAATTCACATAAATGCAGACTATGCTGTAATTGATTACAGTCAACCCTCACTTTACGCGGTCCCACATTCTGCGTTTCCACGTTAACACGGTGCCTTGCCAGAACCTAACGTGCTCACATTACGCGGTGCGTGAACCCCATTACGCGGAGAGTGTCCGGCGCGACGCTATTTTTAGATTCGCCCCACCCGCCTGCCTGCCTGTGCTCTCGCATCTCCCTCCTCCTCCCTCCGCTTGGGCAAGCCGCGCGGTAAGGTTGCGCAGTGTGTGTCTTTGTTGCGTTATCACTGACGTCATATGACGTATCGGACTGTGATTGGCCATGCATCCCTACCCCCCTCTGCTGCTAGCTATAATTGGCTTAAAGTATTATGACGTGTCCACCCGGGGGAGGGAGGGAGGGAGGAAAGATGATCCTTGACCTAGCCGCGCCAGTTTCATCCCTCCACGCCAGACCGTGTAAACGTGCATCCATTGTTCTCTAAAATGGCTTCCGCCGGACCACCACCCCCAGAGAGAAACCTTTCCTTACCTGGACCCAGTGGCACTAAGCCAAAGAAGACACGACGTTCCTTAAGCTACGAGGTGAAGTATACCATCATCCAAGAGTTGGAGAAAGGAACAAGGCAGGTTGATTTGGCGCGCCAGCATGGTGTGAATGAATCTACGATTCGAACAATAAAGAAGGATGCAGCCAAGATAAAGGAGCACATGAAGATCACAAAGTCTACAGGTGCTTCTATGATCAAGTATTTTCACAACCAGGTGCTTCTCAAGACAGAAAAATTACTTGTGAGGTACTTGGTGCGTCAGGCGCGACGGAACATGGCGGTCGACACACGCTCTGTTAAGGACTACGCACGTGAACTGTACATTGCAGTGGCACGAAAGATGGGAACTACAGAGCCCAAACCCTTTAATGCTTCCTCTGGGTGGTTACAGAGGTTTAAGATCCGGAACAAGATCACCAATATAAACATTGGTGGTGAAGAAGCGAGTGCTGACCGTGCTGCGGCTAGGGAATTTCCTCCGTTTATACGTGAGATTATGGAGGAAGGACAGTACAGTGATGACCAGGTGTTTAACATGGGCGAATCTGGTCTTTTCTGGAAAAAGCTACCTTCCAAGTCCTTCGTTGTAAAGAATGCCAGCAAGATTCGGGGCTGGAAGATGCAGAAGGAACGCATCACCGTCCTGTTTACCACCAATGCCTCCGGTACCAGTAAGCTCAAGTTGTCGGTGATCCACACACCACGCAAGCCGCACGCCTACAAAACCATGGACATGACCAAGCTAAATGTCCACTGGCTGACCGCACGTAAGGCGTGGATGTTCTCTACACTGTCCCTCTCCTGGTTTGATGACTGTTTTGTTCCCGATGTAAAGAAATTCTGTGAGCAACAGAATGTGCCATTCAAGATTTTGTTGCTGCTGGACAACGCACCAGGACACTCGCCCCTACTGTTAGATCATCACCCCAACGTAAAAGTGGTCTTCCTTCCTCCCAACACTACGTCTATATTACAGCCCATGGACCAAGAGTTAATCTGTAATGTAAAAGCTGCATTCTCTACGAAAAAATTCAAACTCCTGAACGACTACACCAACACCAGGGAAGAGTTGCGCAACCTGAGTGACACCACCACTGATTGCAAGAGCGAAGAAGATGAGGATCAACAGTTGGCACAGCAAAAAATACTGTTCAAACAATTCTGGAGAGTATTTAACATCAAGAAAGCTGTGGACTTCTTGGTGGAGTCATGGGATCAGCTGTCTATTGCTACAATTCGTCACGCATGGAGACATGTGTTGCATGGAATACCAGGTGAGAGGAGGAGTCAATCTGTGACTGGTGAGGTTCAGACTGTTGCAGTAGCAGTGGACCTTGCCAGAGAAGCTGCGCAGACTGTTACAGTTCCAGGCTTCTCCGAGACCACCAACGACGACATCCTGGAGGTGATAATGGAACCTGATGTGACTACCGAGGAGATGGTAGATGATGATGATGACGACGTCAGTGAAGAGGCAGGTGGTGCGTCATCCCAAGAAGAACAACACTTATCCCATAGTAATGTTAGGGGTGCCATCGAGTGTATCGAGAAAGCCAAGCTCCTCCTTTCCGACGACCCTGACGCAAACAGGTATGAAATCTTCACTACCCAGCTGTTGCAGACTATGGAGCCCTACATCAAGGTGTATCACGACAACATCAACACCAGCCGTCAGCAAAGCATAACAGATTTCTTCGCCCGCAACCCACCACAGCCAGCCCAAGCCAGTGATAGTGACAGTGAAGATGACTTTGAGGGATTTGTCAGGGAAGCCCTGACAACTGTAAGTGACAGTGATGGTGATTCACCTAGTAATGGTGATTCACCTGAGGGCCAGTAATCTGCCCTCTGCCTCGGAACCAGCCTCCATCCCCGTATGCCGACCCATCTCTTCTACTAACGTAAGTGTTCCACATAACTTTTAGTTTTCCTAACCTAACTTTTATTTTTCCTATGTTAACCTTTATTTTTCCTAACCTAACCTCTTCTATATTACTTGTTTTTTCATACCATCATAAAGTTAAGATAAAATTTTTACTACAACATAGTTGTGTGTCGTCAAAAAGTGGAGTTTGGGGGTCGGCCCGGACTCTATTTCAATTAATCCCATATGTTATGTTATTCACTTTACGCCTTCCTCACTTTCCGCGGGACCCTGTGGGTTACATTAACCGCGTAAAGTGAGGGTTGACTGTATTTTTAGTGCAGAAACCTGCATTTTTATTCCCCCTCCCCCCACCTGTAGGGGGATATAGCCATCAATACACGTGTGTGTGTGTGTGTGTGTGTGATAATAATAATAATAATAGTTAACGGTTTATTGAAAAAATTCTGCAGCCCGAAGGCTGAAAATATACATTGGACATAAATGACTTATTACATACATTGGTGGTTTAACAAAAGCCTTCATCAGAGAACGGTAAAGGAACATACAGTGAACATACAGATTAATGTAGGTGTTGAACAGCAAACTCGTAGTGTAGTAATCCCTCCCAGATGGTGTTATGAGGGACCTCACGTGGTGTAGTAATTCCCTCACAGATGGTGTTATGAGGGACCTCACGTGGTGTAGTAATTACCTCACAGATGGTGTTATGAGGGGCCTCACGTGGTGTAGTAATCCCTCACAGATGGTGTTATGAGGGGCCTGACGTGGTGTAGTAATTCCCTCACAGATGGTGTTATGAGGGACCTCACGTGGTGTAGTAATTCCCTCACAGATGGTGTGATGAGGGACTTGACGTGGTGTAGTAATTCCCTCACATATGGTGTTATGAGGGACATGTGGTGTAGTAATTCCCTCACAGATGGTGTTATGAGTGGAGTGAGACAGACGTGGTGTATGTAGGACTTCCCTCACATATGGTGTTATGAGTGTGGTGTAATTTCCCTCACAGATGGTGTTATGAGTGGCCTGACGTGGTGTAGTAATCCCTCACAGATGGTGTTGTGAGGGACCTCACGTGGTGTAGTAATTCCCTCACAGATGGTGTGATGAGGGACTTGACGTGGTGTAGTAATTCCCTCACATATGGTGTTATGAGGGACATGTGGTGTAGTAATTCCCTCACAGATGGTGTTATATGAGTGAGGTTTGGTCTTAGGCCTTCCTATCGTAGACGGATTAACACATCGCTGATTGTGTGTGTGTGTGTGTGTGTGTGTGCATGCTCTTGCCTGTTTTATATAAATGATTGTATGGTCAACTCATCTTCAGTTTTTTTAATTGATTTTCAGGAAATTTTGTACAAATTTAATGTTGTAATTAGATGAATGATGTGCATGTGCAAAGATGGTATCACTCAGGTGAATTTCTGCTCATTTGTTCTTCCACCCTGCTTATGGTGTGGGAGGCTATTTCATCTTCAGGTGACTTTTTAAGATCTGTAGCCTTTGTACCCCTTACTTGGATAGACTTACATAACTTTTGGATAAACAGTGACATTTAGCCACTTATTAATTGTTGTGTAGCTATATGGTATCCATCAATGTTAACAGTTAAACTTTTCCCTTTCACACAGAGATGCGAAGTAAGTTTGATAATGGAGAAGATCCATTGGACCCAGAACAACAGCAGGGAGGACCTGGAGGTCATGGTTTCAACCCATTCCAACATTTCCAGTTTCATCAAGGAGGCTTTCCAGGTGGTGGCTTCCATGGAGGAGGCTTCAAGTTCCACTTTAACTAACTTGGTTTTCTCTAGTGTGTTTATATTAAAGGATTTTATTTATTATGGGTGTGTATGTAAGTGTGAGTTTCAAGGAAAGCATATATTTACATAAATTACAACTTTTTCCCTTCAAATGCAGAAAACCTTCATTGTGCAACTGGAAGTTTGTGTAAATACTCAGCCTGAAAAACTAAATTGTGTGGCTTTCATTCTGCATTCAAGTTCGTCATTTCAGGATCATCTTCAATCAGGGATTATCCTTTATAGGCCACCATCTGTTAAATAAACTAACACTCCAGTGCCTTGCATTATCACTTTGTATTTTGTTCAGGTCTTCTTAATATTTTTGGAGGTAAATGGTTCACAAACATTAAGTTATTGGTATTGAATTCATTTTGAGTTCTCTCCTCCAGTTTCCATGTGATATTTTTATGACCCACAGTGGGTTGAATATTACTTTATTGAACTGAGATACAAACTTTGCGATGCTCAAATATCTGGGTCTGAAAATGGTTATCTCTCTCTTGTTTAATTGCAACAAATTAAAAATACTAGTGTGAATTACAGTTGTAGTGCATTTATTGGTTTAATAGGTATAACAAAGTATCTAGGATTGTAATTATATTGTACCTAACTTAGAATTGTTGTTTCAAGACAGATTACTTTGCAGAGTAATATTGAAAGATGGACTGGAAAAGTATTATAAAAAGTTTGGAATGGCATCTGTAGCTCATCTGTAAATATAACATTATCAAGCAGTTACAAGTGAAGCCAGACATCTTGACCCCACAAAAGTTTTCCTGTGGGGTTCAAGACAAAAATGTCTGGGACAGGTAATGTTTGTGATATATTTTACTTTAAGCTTTTGAAATTTGATTTCTGTATTCTAGGGTAAAGAATATGTTTTGAATATAATTTTATTGTGATGATTTCTCTTATTTTGTACTGTTCTTGTGAAATCCCCAGATGTTTAAATTTTCCTCCCAGGTACATGAGATTTAATATTGTTATGTAAATATACTGTAAAAGTCCATTTAAATTTTAAATACATCCTGTGGTCTTTAAATGGGAACATAGATGCTTGTACAACAATTTTAGTGATTACATTGTGTATGTAAAATCACCTACAAAACTCTGGTAAACTGCTTCAATATTCTGAATGCCAAACTGAGCCTTCAAACTGCAGGTACACCACCAATTTTCCAGGAACTGATGATCCGGCACCTCCTATAGTCCGGACAAAATTATGAGAGGGCACTTAACTTCCCTCCCTCCCTCCCAGCCAGGGTGAAGGTAGTTTTAGGCCTAAAGTTTTTATCTTATAAAATGTAACAGACTAAACTTGGCAGAATATAACTTGCATTGCCGGAATCATTGTAAGATAGTGATTAATTTGAGTATAGACATCATATAGTTTGCAAAAGTGATAAAAATTTTAGTCCTTTAGTGTAGTACATTTGAGTACAAAGTGTGTACAGTAATATGTTCCTCAAAATTATGGTCTTTTTACATTTAATTTACATATAACATTTGTTTAATTTAAGTTTCTAGCAGTCCATGGTGGTTTAGAGACACAGGAGGTGTATAATTAGTGGGTCAGAGGTGTATTGTTGAATTATTATTATGTGACCTCGGTTGGTCCGGCAAAACGGATAGTCCAGCAAGGCTTTGGAACCAAGGGTGCCGGAAAATCGGTGGTGTACCTGTACAGTAAATCTTTGGGATAACGGACTAGTTGGGAGGACACCATGGGTGCTAAAGCCGAAAGCCTGTTAAAACTGATGTCTGAAAATGTTTAATAATCCTGATAAACATTCTATCAACCAGGGGGGAAGTCCAAGAGACTGCGTCGGTATATCAGTTTGAACGTATGTTCAGAAACTGCTACAATATATAAAGCAGTGTAAGTGTACAGTACTGTACTGTATACGTAAGGGTTGTACAGTCAGTTCGCATATACAGTGGGGTATGCTATAACGAATCTAATTGGTTCTAGAACCTTGTTCGTTATAGCATTCGTTCGTTATAGGATTAATCCGTTCCAGGCCCCCAAATACAACCACTTAACACTGAAAAATATAATATTAAATTGTAAAAATTGGAAAAAAAGTGCATAAATATGCATCTAAACCCTTGAAATAAAGAATATCATTAGTACTTGTAATACAGAAACAATAAATTAGTAAAAAAAAAAAAAAAAAATTATAATGTTCGTTGTAGGAGTTATGTTCGTTATAGCATTATCAATTTTATAGGTAAAACTGTTCGTTATAGGAATATTTGTAGTAGGATCCGTTCGTTATAGCATACCCTACTGTAATGTGACATTTGCATTCCTGAAAAACACTGCATTATCAAAAAATTGGGTTATGGTAACCATTATTTCAATGGGAATTAAGGAGTTAAGGTGTAGTAGGTTCAAGAACATCAACAAGGGATCCACTTTTAACCCTCATTTTTATATTATTGTTAGTTATGGTTGATTTTATAGTAACTGTGTTTTAGTTTGTTAAATCATTCATTATTACTGTAGAATAAATATGAAAAGGGAGAAAATGCGAAAAACAATGAGCTAGTCCACATCGCTAAATGGTAGAACACGTAGCCATGAAGGACAGCAAACTCGTGTAACACTTTTAATGATAAAACCTTCTTAAATTAGAACACTGTTACCCATAAAAAAATAATTAAACTTTGTTAGAAAATTTAATATTCACCACAAGAAGAGAAGATGGCTACTTGAAATGAATGGTGGAGGAGGTGAAGTCAATCTGATGATGATGGTGAGTGTTAAGGTGATTGGAGCTTTGAGGAAGACAGTGAAGCAGGAACTTATGCAAAAAAAAAAAAATGTTGAACCACCTGTTGATGTTGATGCAGGCATTTTTGGTTGATCTTGAACAAAATATTGATCGGTTTACTTCTGTGTTGCTGCCTTCTTTTTTCATCGAGTAGTTCAAAGTAAGGTGTGAGCTGAGCCTTCACTTCTCAAATAATCTTCACAAAGCACTCAGAGTTGTAGTCGTTATCTTCCATCTTTTTCAAAACAATTTCAATATTTTGCAAAGCTAAAGACAACAGCTGTGTGAGTTCATCGAGTGGTTGTTCTTCAGGATCATTTACATCATCCTCACATACTGCACTTGCCTCAGCAACCAGTTGCAATTCCTCCATAGAAAGTTCCTCACTATGTGACTCCAGCAGCTTCTCAACATTTACCCCCTAAACTTCATTGAATCCTGCTTGTCTTGTTAGAGCAACATACGGGCATTGGACGCATTGCAATTCTTCAGACTGCTCTGCAAAGCCCCAAAAGTCATGAGCAACATGAAGAAGAAGCTTATGCCAAACACCATATAAACAGGATTTTTTAACATCTTACCCTGCTTCAACAATGATGTTGAAACATAGATTTTTACAATTGGTTCAGTACATATAAAGGTAATGGAGGTATAAAGTGGGCATGGACAGTTTAGGTATACAGTAGTATACAGTTGCATCTACATGATGGTATCATGGCCCGGGAATGTGTGCGGGGACACATATACAAGATGGGGCAACACAGCACCGTAGTCTTGGGCATGAAGCCGTGGATTACTCTGTTTGCTGGTTCCCCATAGTTCAGTCCGAATCACTCGGTCATAGCTACACAACAATGCTGCATAACATAGATAAATAAAGCATCCATGTGGCTAGTGTTCTTCAGCATCGATGTGTTGCCACGCAAATGGTAATTTCACTGTTTCACGCCCAATCATTCAGCCAACGTACCTGAGCCCTCGCACACTCCCAGGTTGTGGTACGTTCATGTGGAGCCAACTGTACACAGACAGTGCAGGTATACAATTACCAATGCATCTAAACAGTGCGTACACAACCAGTGGTAAAATGCAGCAGCATGTTCAGTACCGTACCATTCATAGATCACCTCATTTCTCATGATGATTAAACACCCTCATGGTATACCTGGGTAGAGTTAGGTTAGGATAACATTAGAATGATTAATCTCAAGATGAAATTAGCTGTGTGGTTAACCTTTAGATGATCCCAATTCATTTTCAATACAATCAAGATTTACACATCAATCATATTTGTTGTGAATAATTCCAGATCATTAATAAGAATAACTAAAACCAAAGATTTTTTTAAGTAAGTTACCGTGAGGTCCTGGTAGTGGTAATGTACAGTAATTAGAATAATATGAAGGCCAATCTGCTAACAAGCCAATTAGTGGTGAAGAGGATAAAGTACAGTATAGTAAGTAAAGATACTCCTGTGTGTCAAAGTTTAAAAATTTTTCTGTGATACTTGACTTAACTTTATCATCTTCAACACTGATCGGTCTGTAGCCTCTTGGGCAGTCTGTCACGTCTCTGTTACATATTGTTGACAAGCACTGGACATGTACTGGTTCTCTGCTACACACTGTTGGCAAGTGGGCATGTACTGGCTCGTTACACACTGTTGGCAAGTACAGTACTGGACAATATAGCTTTTACTTTGAAGTAAGCTCACCTTCATCTCTCAGCACCATTTTTTTACTGCAATATGTAAATGTAATGACTTTACATTGCCCTCTGTTGGATCTGTTTATGTTACTTCAGGGGCAGATCTAGGGGAGGTCCTGGGGTCTGGACTCCCCCTTTTTCAAAAGAAAATTACAATACTTTTTCTTTAATGCAGTATTGTACTTGGGCATTTATGTATAGTAAAAAGTAATTACTATTGACTTCAGAATATCTTATAATATCAAGTACACTTGGCTTCAAAATTACCTCAAAATGCCCATGATATTGGTCATGTTTCAAAAAAATTTCTCGGTAGTGTGATGGAGTGTTACCTTGGGTAAAACTCGAGTAACAATCTGTGAAGATGGTCAAGCTGCATGACTTCATGACTTGATGTAGGTCATGGGCTATTAATTTCAACAAAGGGTAAAAGCTTGGCTGGAGGGAGGGAGAGAGAGAAGGTGGAAAGATAGATGGGAGGAAGGATGGATGGCAGGTTTTATATGGATGTTTTATCAGTTAGGTAAGTGTACTGTACTGTATTTATATTCTGTGTTGTGCTGTTACAATTAACTTGCATTGTCATATTATCCAACACCTGGCAAACTACCGGCAGGGTAGTAAATCATACCAGCATGGGTAGGTCTGGCGGCGGTTCACCCGGCAGTCCTGTCTTACCAGTTGGGTTAGGTTATCATTAGGTGTTTCATCACTAGGCGGAATAAGCTGCAGTGTCAATCTTCATGTTATCTATCCTATCATCTGAGGTTCTAACTATGGCAATAGTGAAACATGATGACAAACTTCACAAATGGAGCAATTTAGCCAAGTGCAGGGACAGATCCAGGAATATCAAAAGGAGAGGGTCCAAGAAGTTGTGAGTGGGGGAACATGGCGAGCACAGCAAACCCACCTAGCTTTTTAGTGGGGGGACTGCTGTAAGGCCCCCCAGATTTTTTTTAAATCATGGGCATTTTGAGGCAATGTTGAAGCCTGTGCATTTGATATTAGGAGATATGATATGCCTCGTGTATAGGTCGACCCAAGTAATGGAACAACAAATTAGGGTAATAAAGTACCATATTTTATGGCATATAAAACTCATTTCAGAAAACCACTAAAAACGCTCTACGTCCTATAAACTGAGGGTCGCTGTGCCTGAAACACCGAGCGCTAAGGCAAATAGTTTCCCATTTATTATTACGGCACTTTACACTGAAATGCGGGTAGTTTCAGCAAAAATATTGTATTTCCTTTCAAGTATTTATTCAAGTCAATTAGGATAGAATATTATTGTAATACAACAGTTTTTTTAACTGAAACCCATTTGAAAAGCAATTACGGTAACATCTTTTGAACAACGTGTATTGTAGTGGATTCCTCCCCTACAAACGAAAGAAAGCAAAAGTCGATTGTTTTCGTCATGATTTTATCCCACTTTCCACTGTAATACGTACTTCATTTCAGCAAAAATATTACATTTCCGTGAATGTATTATATCAAGCAGAGTATGAATATAATATCA